TGTATTTTTCAATTTTACGAATTTTGTGCCTAAACGAGGATACTACCGTTTCATACACTATCGCTATGTTACAAATATTTTCAATCAATATATATTTCTCATTGTTAACTTGACAAATGTAATATTGATTAAATTATTAAAAGCAACTTGTTGTAGAAGTTTATTTTATATACATCTATGATTATATATACATCTATATTATATATACATCTATGATTTAAAATACTTAAAAGATTTCGTGAAATTTATGATAAATATTAGGACATCTGCTTCTTGCCACAGTAAATTTAGAAACCAAGAGATGGATAATTTAAGTATTTTGTTTAAATTTGAGATCCTCTTGGTACGTAATACCGCAAAGTTTATGTTACTTTTCTCCTCTCTCTCTCTCTCTCTCTCTCTCTCTCTCTCTCTCTCTCTCGTCTCGGGAGCGCTGAACCCGAGAATCTCTCACCATTTTCACGCCGTTCTGATAACGCGACCGTCTGTGGTATATCACACGCTCATCGCCCAGCACGTTAACCCTTGCTCGAAGCCACGCGAAGTAGCGACTTCTTTTTCCACCTCGTGCCAGCGGCATCGATTTTAGATAAAGTCAACGAACTGACACGAATTTCCGGCGCCAATGGCAACTACAGAGAGGACCGATACAAAAAGGTCCGCACTGTTTGGACAAATTAAATAGTATCGACTGCTACCGCGCGTTCACCACCTGTGACCTGTCTCATTCTTTTTTTTTTCTCTTATACCACGCGCTTGTTTTCAGCTGTCAAACTGTTGCCGCAATCTATCAAATTCTATGGCAAATACCAAATCTCGTGTTGCAAAAGTTTACATCAGACTTTACAACGCAACACGCAATTGGAACCACGCAAGAAAATAGAAAGGAATAAATTATTTGTCTTTCGATGAACCAGATAGCAAGGATCAATTGATATCACGTACCCTTATTTGAGGGTATAATGACGGACAAAGGGGAATCTCATGGGCGATGGAGTGAACTGACTGGATAGTAGTTTCTCTTAAAGGCCAACGAGGGTTACGAAGAAGACTGAGCACAGTCTTACAGAAAAGATTCTTGTAAGATGAGCTGTCGTAGATATCGATTCGACTCGTTTCGACTATTTTTACGAGGGTAAAGTGATAGAGACAGAGCGAGAGAGAGAGAGAGAGAGAGAGAGAGAGAGAGAGAGAGAGAGAGAGAGAGAGAGAGAGAGAGAGAGAGAGAGAGAGAGAGAGAGAGAGAGAGAGAGTAGAGAGAGTAGAGAGAGAGAGAGAGAG